ATTAACCCCACTGATAATCAACACGCATAGTGACAAGCAAAATAAAACAAACGAAACCACCGTAGAATACGTAGAACTGTTGAATGGTGGTTCTTTTCTATCTTTCCCGCTTTTCCCTGATGAATCTAATTTAAAGTTTATTACTATTCCTAATGCTGTGAAAAATAACGACGCTGCAAACCTAATGAACGATAAGAAAGTACGCTCCAGTTGTAAAACATCTCTTGGTTCTGATGCAGATACTTTCATTATCAAGCTGTACGGCAATTTCCCCAATAAAGTCAGTCGTCTAGATAGGGATATCTCATGCTCTTCTTCATACTGTAAATCCTCATTGTGAATAACAGTTTCTGGTAATTCAGTTGATTCTTGTGGCCCGAATTTGTTTAATTGATTGAATGTATCATCACCTTTGACACCAGCCGCCATCCTGTATTTATATCCTTATCTACCATCAAATGTATATCTAAGCATCTATATCAACCTTTTTTGCAGAAATTAAGTGCGTGTACCAAAACTAGAAATAACAGAAAATAAATCTATTATACTAGTAGACTTGTTTATAATTTTATATAAGTGAAGAATATTCAATAAAGAAGACTTAACAGACTAAGTTAGACATACGTAGGGATGAAGAACTCAAAGAAAAATGCTTGCCGAAATTGTGGCCACACAAATTTTACAGTGGACAGATATACGGCAGCAGGAGATATTTCATGTTCTAGATGTGGAACAGTCCAAGTGGAAAACCCGATTGTTAGTGAGGTACAGTTCGGGGAATCGTCATCAGGAGCGGCGATGGTTCAGGGTGCTATGGTTGGTGCAGATCAAGCTAGAGCTACTTTTAACGGCAGACAAAATGCGATGGAAAGTAGGGAACAAACGTTAGCGAACGGGAAAAAGAAGATTAGAAGAATTGCAACAGCTTTAAAAATACCCGATTATATTGCAGATGCAGCGGGTGCATGGTTTAGGTTAGCATTAACCAACAATTTTGTTCAAGGTAGGAGATCGCAGAATGTTCTTGCAGCTTGTTTGTATGTTGCATGTAGAAAGGAAAAAACGCATCATATGTTGATAGATTTTAGTTCACGTTTGCAGATTTCAGTATATTCATTAGGTGCAACGTTTTTGAAGATGGTTAAAACTTTACATATAACGTCTTTGCCGTTGGCAGACCCATCCCTTTTCATTCAACATTTCGCTGAGAAATTAAACTTCCGTGATCAAAACAGTAAAGTTATTAAGGACGCAGTGAAGTTAGCGCAGAGAATGGCCAATGATTGGATCCATGAAGGTAGACGTCCAGCAGGTGTGGCAGGGGCATGTGTTTTATTAGCAGCTAGAATGAATAATTTCAGAAGAACCCATGCGGAAATAGTTGCGGTAGCGCATGTTGCAGAAGAGACTTTGCAGCGTAGGTTGAATGAGTTCAAAAAGACCAAATCTGGTGAATTGACAGTTGAATCATTTAGGGAGTCCCTAGACACCGAAGTTTCCAACCCGCCATCATTTGATAGAAATCGTGATTTGGAGTTGAAGCTAGCCAAACAGTTAAAAGATAAAGAAGCGGCATTAAAGAAATTTGAAGAATTAGCTAAAAGTAGGAATAACACACCCGATTATGACAGCGAGGATGCTTCTGAGGAAGGATCAACAAGAAAGCAAGACTTACAGGATATAATAGAAGACAGTCGACTCAAAAATCAGCAATCTAAAAAAGATAAACTCTTGAAGACAATCTTGAAAGATTGCGATTTATCGGAAAATGAAATATCGGAGCAATTAGCTAGAATTATTCAAAATCAAAGGAAAAGCCTACAAAACTCCATGTATATGATACCATCCGAATTACAAAGAACTACCGACGAAGAAGAAAAAATTGATCTAGACAAACCTCGTAATTTAGTAAAGAATTTACCCAAGACCCAGGACTTACTATCTAAGATATCGTCAGAACCTAAGGAATTCGATGACCTTGATGATTCAGAATTGGATCATTTCTTATTGACAGAAGACGAATATAAACTAAAAGAAAGATTATGGACCGGTTTAAACCACGACTTTATTGTGGCCCAGGAGAAGAAGCGCTTAAAACAAGAAACAGATGAGTTAACTGGTAATACTTCAGGTGCCAATCGGAAGAAGCGTCGCCAAACCAAAAATTCAATTGCAGGCGTCGAAGGTATTGACGGTGATTTTGTTAACGAAATGGGTATTAATGATGCGTTGGCAGGCATAGGTGTTGACGAAGCCACAGGTGAACCTTTGACTGCGGCTGATAGCGCAAAAAGAATGCTTTCAAAGAAATCATTCTCGAAGAAGATCAACTATGCAACTCTTGGTGATTTGTTTGATGATAATAAGGCTGGTAAAATTGGGATATAGTATGTAGTATATATAGTGAATAGATAAAATACAATTTTTGTTATCAATGGTTCTAAGCCCGCGACTATTTTTTTTGCCGCAATTTTTTTTTGTTAGTGCGATGGGATGAGGAATAAAATAATATACTATGAAATATACTGGAGAAAGAAAAGGATTGTATAGCTTTTAAAAGTATAAATATTTAGACATGGGTAAAAGAAGAAGAGCTGCTATTTTACCAACTAACATTATTTTGTTACAAAATGTTGTTCGTCGTGATCCAGAATCATATTATGAAGAATTTGTACAGCAATATTCTCATTATGAATCCTTGAGAGATATCTTTTTAATGAACCCTTCAGGAGCTAGTAAGGGAACTGAGTTTGGAGAGTTGATTGGTTTCGTTTCAGCAGTATGTGATTGTTATCCAAAGGAAACAAGTAACTATCCAGACGAATTGAAGAATCTTTTATTGAATAACCATCGAGATTTATCACCGGAATTGAGAGAAAAAATTATTCAATGTTTAACCATGTTAAGAAACAAGGGTATTGTTTCTGCAGAATCCTTAATTCAAACCATTTTTCCATTGTTATCCGCATATAGTAACTCATCTGCTGCTTCAGTGAGTGGCCAACACATCAAAGCTTTAAGGCATCAAATTTACAGTACATTGATTTCACTTTTAAAATCGGTAAATACTACTTCCAAGAACCAGAAATTAAACAGATCTACTCAGGCTTTATTATTTAATTTGTTAGAACAAAGAGATGCCCAGGGATTGTGGGCCACAAAATTAACTAGAGAATTATGGAGAAGAGGTATCTGGGATGATTCGAGAACAGTAGAAATCATGACACAAGCGGCTTTACACCCTGACGTTAAGGTTGCTGTTGCTGGAACTAAGTTCTTTTTGGGTGCTGATAAAGAAAGAGAAGAAAATTTTGAAGACGACAGTTCCGATGACGAAAAGTTCGATATGGGAGCATTAAAACATAGAATGCAAGTCCAAAAGAAATCGCTTAAGAAGACTAAAAAATTAGAGCAAGCAGTTAAAACAATGAAAAAGAAAAGTAATGCCAAAAACTCTACTACATATTTGAATTTCTCGGCAATTCATTTGTTAAGAGATCCCCAAGGGTTTGCAGAGCAGTTATTTGCAAGACATTTAAGCGGAAAGAATTCTAATAGATTTGATTTAGATCAAAAGATCTTGTTCATGAATTTGATTTCCAGATTAATTGGTACACATAAGTTGACAGTACTTGGAATATATTCATTCTTCTTGAAGTACTTGACTCCGAAACAAAGAAACGTTACTCAAATTATGGCTGCTGCTGCGCAAGCGTCCCATGATTTGGTTCCACCCGAATCAATTTCGACTGTTGTTCGTAAGATTGCTGACGAGTTTGTTAGTGATGGTGTTGCAACAGAAGTTGCTTCGGCGGGTATCAATACTATTAGAGAAATCTTATCAAGAGCACCATTGGCCATCGATCCAACTTTATTGCAAGATTTAACGGAATATAAGGGATCCAAAGCAAAGGCAGTTATGCTGGCTGCTAGATCTTTGATTACTTTATATAGGGAAGTTGCACCACAAATGTTGTTAAAGAAAGATAGGGGTAAGACAGCTAGTATGGGATTACAAACCGGCGAAAAGAATAAAGCACCGCAATTCGGTGTTGAAAGTTCCGTTGTCACGTCTATTCCTGGTATCGAGTTATTGGCCAAATGGAAGAAAGAACATGCAAATGGTGAAGAAGATGATGAAAACAACTTAGAAAATTGGGAAGTGGAACAGGGTGATGTAAGCGATATTGAGGGTGACTGGGTTACAGTCGAATCTGACAAAGAATATGATATCAGTGACTCTGAAGATGAAAAAGATGTCAAAGACGATGATGATACGAAACCAGTGGACGAGGAGGACTCGGAATTGGATCTTTCTTCTTCTGACGACGATGATGATGAAAGAGATAGACCGGCCAAGAAGTTGAAAACAGCAGAAGATGCAGATGTAAAGAAAGAAGAAGCTATAGATGCAGAGAAAGCAATGGCTGAATTATTGTCTAGTAGAATATTAACTCCAGCAGATTTTGCAAAATTAGAGGAATTGAAAGTCCAAGCAGGTGTCGAAAAAGCATTGGGTATTAAGCCCAATGAAGAAGAGGTCGATTCGACAACTTTGGTTGGTAAAATCAAATACAAGCAATTACGTGAAGAAAGAATTGCCCAAGCCAGAGAAGGTAAAGACGACCGTGAAAAGTTTGGTTCTAGAAGAGGTAAGAGAGATGCTCCTCATTCTACTACTAATAGAGAGAAGGCAAGAAAGAAGAATTTCGTTATGATGATTCATAAAAAATCTGTGCAAGGTAAACAGAAGTTGTCATTACGTGATAGACAAAAGGTTTTACGTGCACATATCACAAAACAGAAGAAACAAGGCCATTAATATGTATAGTAGGAATTGGAGATACAAGAATATACAAGAATTTATAGTAATATAACGGTGTTAAAAATATTGACAAAAAAATTAAATAAATACACTAGACAACAATAATAATACAATTATTAAAAGTATTAATTAAATACAAACGAGAAGCGAAAGAGCAAGAAACGAACTTACTAATCTAGGATTTTTCCGATTTTTCTGATTTCTTAGACTTTTTAGACTTTTTAGGTTCCTTTTCAGTCTTGTCAGATTTTTCAGCATCATCCAGTTTCTTTGTTTCGGATTTACGTTTCTTTGATTCAGATTTAGCCTTCTTTACAGGCTCAATAGTAGGAACGGTAATCTGTTCAATTGGTTTTGGTTCGATTTGGCCAACATCTGGCTTACCAGCCTTGTATGCATCCCTCAAGATATTGTATTGCTGCAATTCATTTTGATACTTGCTTTGCCATTTAGACTTTTCTTCAGGACTGATCGAGCTCCAACGTTCCTTGATGATCTCGTTCAATTCGGAGGCCGATAAAGGACTCAAACCTTGCTTGGCTCTTTCTTGACGGATTTGATCACGCGTGTAGAATGAGTAGGCAAAATAAATCGTTAATGGTTTCTTTGGTGCATTAGGATCTTTTTCAACCTTCTTTCTCTTTTTCTTTTCTTCTGGTTGTGAATCACCACCATTAGTGGCCAGAGCACCAGAAGCAGCACCAGCAGATGCCACTGGAGAAGATGCTTCTTCCACTTCTGGAACAGCAGCAGATGTGCTAGTAGCAATATTGTTCAATGTAGACGCTAAACTGTTTAATGATTCTCCATTAAGGTTTTCATTTGACGATGCCTTGTAAAAATTGACAGTTGCGGTTGCTGCATCTTGTGCAGCTTTAGAAAGTTCAAAAAGGGATGCAACAAGTGCATCTTTAGCGTTCTTAAGTTCTGACATATTCTGTGTAAAAAATTCAACAATATCCTATATGGTTTGTCGTTAGTTATAATTAAGTTTACAAGTATTTCTGTCCACAATTATAATTTCATCGAAAAACAACACTGGGAGCCTCGCGGCGGACATCGTCGAATTTACCGCACTCCGCCCTTAGCGAATTAGTGAGCAATTCTTATTTTAATTGGCGAGTTTGCTCGTATTCACAAAATTTGGTGCGAGCCTTGCCTAACCTATTTGCTGATTGCTTGCGTGCTCAAGAGTCACTATGTTAGTACATTAACTTTTTGCACCCACTTATAGATATCTTATGCAAACCCCATCTATAGTTGTATGCATATATATATTATTATGAATGTATCAAATGGCGAATCAAATTGCAGGAGTATAAAATTGATAACATTTTAGTGACTTTGAAGGATGTTGAAGTAGTAAAGGGAAATAATTATGGAAGAATCCACCCACGAAAAAATGGCACGATGTTCGCAACCCCACTGTGAACGTGTGATGAAATTTAGCGGAGGACGGGAACGATTGAGTCGCGAAAGTCATTCAGTTCGTCGCTAGGATTTTTTGTCATGGCACATTTAGTGATTGTATAGTGAGACATTTAGCGAATTGAAAAGTGACAAAATTTCACAGACCGAAACGGAAATACACCAGTACAATCGGAGGGAATGTTTAAATCAGCAGCTCAACGCCAAAAGATCTTAGGAATTGGGCCAAGGTGGTTATCATCAACTAGCAGGGCATGTGGATATGCAATTACGTGTCCTGGACAAGGGGTTATCAAGGATGGGCTATTGGTTCCGTATGCAAAATTCCAGCATCATTTCCAAGACAGTCTTGAGATCATCGATGGAAGTTTGAACGAAAAATTTAGTGACAAATTATTGAATAGCCAAGCAGGATTCGGAAAGGAATGGCTCATACACACTTCTAATGCACAACCAGCGATATTGGCGACAACCTACATAATATGTGAGATAATACACAAGGAGTACGGTATTGATTTACCCCAGAATGATAAGGTCAAGTTTTTGTTAGGCCATTCGCTAGGTGAATATACAGCGCTCTTGCTTGCAGGAGTGTTGGATTTGGCTGGAGCAATAAGGCTAGTACGAGAAAGAGGACGGTTAATGGAAGAGTTGGTTACCGGCGACGATTATTCAATGGTTGCGTTGATGTTCAAGCCCAGTTTCTTTGGCGAAATTCTCTTGAAGAGTCAGGAAGCGGAAGTGCTAGCAAACGTCAACTCGTATCAGCAAATAGTCTTGTCGGGCAAATCGTCAAAAATTGATGAGACTATAGCTGAGATAAATAGTGAATCAAAGAAAATCTTGAAGACAGTCAAATTGCCGGTCAAGATCCCGTTTCATAACACTATTTTACATGAAATAGAGCCTAAATTATTACAATTAGCTACACCTCTACAAAAGCCTACGAAACCTATAGTTACAAACTTACAAGGTGAGGTATCAGCTGATCCATTAACAAGCACGATAAGGGCCAATTCGAAACCCGTTCAATGGACAAAGTCAATGGAATACCTAGTAACAAACAATGTAACCGATGTTATAAATCTAGGTCCTGGGGATGTTTTGAAGGGGCTTAATTCGAAATTCAAGGTTACAAACTATAGTGTTGATTCTGCAGAATCTATGAACGAGTTACGGAATTTATTTAGTCCATAATAAAGTTTTCACGACGTATCTCGTTAGATACTGCTTAACACATAACCACTGTAGGCTTTTTATCAATGTCATTTCGGAGATATGCTTCATCGGAATTGGCTAGTGAAAAATCGACTCGGCCTTAAGTTATTATTTTTTATTTTTCGCGAGTCATATGGTTCAACAGACCGATAAATGTTGACGATGATTATATTTTTCATTTTATTCAGTAGAATCTTAAACTCTCTAAGCTTAATTTAATAAAATGGTTGCTCAGTTAATCGATGGTAAGGATATCGCTTTACAGGTTCGTACCAGAATTTATGCAGAAATTGACCAAATTCAATCCCAACATAAGGATTTCAAGCCAACTTTGACTATTATCCAAGTTGGTTCTAGAGCCGATTCTTCTACATATGTTAGAATGAAATTAAAGGCAGCAGAAGAGGCATCCGTTGAGTGTAATATTATTAATTTACCAGAAACAATCACTCAATTTGAATTAATAAATCAAATTCAGAAATTGAATGAGTCACAATCTGTCGATGGTATTTTGGTTCAATTACCTATCCCAGATCATTTAGATGAAGCTGCTGTTACTAGTTCTGTTTTGGCTGACAAAGATGTTGATGGATTCGGTCCTTACAACGCTGGTGAATTAAGCAAAAAAGGTGGTAACCCACATTACTTACCATGTACCCCAAAAGGTATTATGGAATTATTAGCCCAATCCCAAGTTCAAATAGCAGGATCTAATGCAGTCGTATTAGGTAGATCTGACATTGTTGGTAAACCAATTGCTAACTTGTTAACTAGAGCTAATGCTACCGTTACCACTTTGCATTCCCAAACTCCTCAAAACCAAGTCGAAGCTTTCTTATCGCAAGCTGACATTGTTGTTGCAGCTATAGGTAAGGCAGGTTTTGTCAGAGGTGAATGGTTAAAGGAAGGTGCTGTTGTTATTGATGTTGGAACCAACTTCATTTCAGATGCTTCAAAGAAGTCCGGTTCTAGAATGGTTGGTGACTGTGATTTTGAATCGTGTTCCGCAAAGGCATCTAAATTAACTCCAGTTCCAGGTGGGGTTGGCCCAATGACTGTTGCAACTTTGTTAGACAACGTTATTATTGCTGCCAAGAAGCACTATGCCAAAAATAATGAAACTCCAAAGTTTACCAACCCATTAAAATTAAACTTACAAACACCAGTTCCTTCTGATTATGAAATTTCAAGAGCTCAGCAACCTAAAAAGATCGATGAAGTTGCTTATGAAGCCGGTATCTTAGACAACGAGTTAGAATTATTTGGTTCTTACAAGGCTAAGGTTTCCTTAGATATTTTGAAGCGTTTAGAGAACAAGAAAAATGGTAAATATGTTTTAGTCACAGGTATTACCCCAACTCCATTAGGTGAAGGAAAGTCCACAACCACTGTTGGTTTAGCTCAAGCCTTAGGTGCGCACTTGAACAAAAATGTCTTTGCCAATGTGAGACAACCATCTATGGGTCCAACTTTCGGAATTAAAGGTGGTGCTGCTGGTGGTGGTTACTCTCAAGTTATTCCTATGGATGAATTTAATATGCATGTTACTGGTGATATCCATGCTATTTCTATGGCCAATAACTTATTAGCTGCTGCGATTGACACAAGAATGTTCCATGAAAATACTCAAAAGGATGGTCCATTATACAAAAGATTAGTTCCAGCCAAGAAGGGTTCTAGAAAATTCCCAACCTGTATGTTAAAGAGATTAGAAAAGTTAGGTATCAATAAGACTGATCCAAATGAATTAACTGAGGAAGAAGTTGCTCAATTTGTTAGATTAGATATTGATCCTGATACCATTACCTGGAGAAGAGTTGTTGACTGTAACGATAGATTCTTGAGAGGTGTTACTATTGGTGAAGCACCAACTGAAAGAGGTATGACCAGACAAACTGGTTTCGACATTTCAGTTGCATCTGAATGTATGGCCATTTTAGCATTAGCCAATTCGTTACAAGATTTACGTGAAAGATTAGGTAATATGGTTATTGCTTCGTCCAAGGCTGGTGTTCCGATCACCTGTGAAGACATCGGTTGTGCTGGTGCTTTGACTGCATTATTGAAGGATGCCATTAAGCCAAATATTATGCAAACCTTAGAAGGTACTCCTGTCTTTGTCCACGCTGGTCCTTTTGCTAATATTTCAATTGGTGCTTCTTCTATTTTGGCCGATAAGATGGCGTTGAAATTGGCAGGTACTTCTCCAAGTTTATCTCCAGAGGAAAGAAAGGAACAAGAAGGTTACGTTGTCACCGAAGCCGGTTTCGATTTCACAATGGGTGGTGAAAGATTCATCAATATCAAGTGTCGTTCATCAGGCTTAGTTCCAGACTGTATTGTTATTGTCGCCACTGTTCGTGCCTTGAAGGTTCATGGTGGCGGTCCAGAAGTTAAAGCTGGTGCTGCATTGGCTCCAGAATACACCCAAGAGAACGTTGAATTATTGAGAGCCGGTTGTTCTAACTTGGCCAAGCATATTTCTAATGCCAAGGCATACGGCTTACCAGTCGTTGTTGCTATCAATAAGATGTCCTCAGACACTGATAGCGAACACCAAATTATCAAGGAAGAAGCATTAAAGGCTGGTGCTGTTGATGCTATCGTCTCCAACCATTGGGAAGAAGGTGGTAAGGGTGCTGTCGAATTAGGTCAAGGTATCATTGAAGCCTGTAACTCTCAAGACAAGCATTTCAAGTTCTTGTATGAATCTGAAAAGTCAGTTGAAGATAAAATCAGCGCCATTGCTAAGGAAATGTACGGAGCTGGCGAAGTCGAATTTTTACCAGAAGCCCAAAAGAAGATCGATACCTACACCAAGCAAGGGTTCGGTAATTTACCAATCTGTATTGCAAAAACTCAATATTCGTTATCTCATGATGCGGCCTTAAAGGGTGTTCCAACTGGCTTCAAATTCCCGATTAGAGATGTCAGGGCTTCCATTGGTGCCGGCTATTTATACGCATTAGCTGCTGAGATCCAGACAATTCCTGGTTTACCTACTCACTGTGGTTTCATGAACGTCGAGGTCAATGATGATGGTGAAATCGAAGGTTTATTCTAGAGATTGAATTTGATTCAAGAATTGTGAAGTTCAACACTTTATGATGTTACGAAGTTTTTACATTTTACTTTTCGTTATTTATTATTATTACTATTACTTTTTTTTATTTGTTATTACTAGAAGTTGTTTAGGATTAAAATACGGTTTCAACACATATTTAGATTAAATATATAAATTTATCCAGCCTTGGCTTGAATAAAGAAAATAGTTTTCTCGTGTACACGACCACATTAAATTTGAGTCTGAAAAGAAGGAAGATTTGTTAGCTTTTATAAAATAATGAACAAGGAATAGTTGATTCACATAGATACCAGAAGAAATGTTTACGTTGAGAACCTTGAAGCAATCAGCTGGCCCAATTGCCAGGAATGTATTAACGAGAAATACTATTAATTTGTCGATCGCATACAGATTACCAAAAAATCATATCCCAAAACAGTTTTCCAATCAACTTTTAAGCCAATCAAGATTATATAGCGTGTTGAGTACATCACCCGAAGCCAAGTTATATAATTACGAGAATGTCAAGGAGATCGTTAAAAATCCATCGGCCCATCCAAATTCTTTGATTGTGGATGTCAGAGAACCAGTTGAATATGAGGATGGCCACATTCCTAATGCGATTAATATTCCGTTCAAGTCATCTCCAGGGGCATTAGATTTAAGTCCGGAAGAATTCAATGATAATTTTGGATTTGATAAACCAAGTAAGGATAAAGAATTGATCTTTTATTGCTTAGCCGGTGTCAGATCGACCGCCGCTGAGGAATTGGCCGATACGTTCGGTTACAAGAAGAGAGGTAACTACGTTGGTTCGTACGAGGACTGGGCGGCTAAGGAAAACGCCAAGTCTACTTAGGCATACACTAGAGATATCTTACCATGAGTATTTCTTTGCTTCTGTTACTATTATTATTTTATTTGTTAACCATCTTGTTATATAGCTAGTATAGTATTTGTTTGTCGGTTAATTAATTAACTATATATATACTAATGACGATTGAATTCTAATTCCTTAAATTCCTTTCCTAATCTTCTCTTTCTCTTACGTTCCATGACCTTTTCTCTTTGAGACGCCTTCATGCTGTCGAACTTAGCCTTTTGGATTAATTTCCTTTTATCGGACTTCTTCAAGAAGTATGGATTGGCCTGTTTGCCACTCTTGAATTTGGCTAGTTGTTCCTTCTTGTGCTCCGAAAGGATCTTATTTTCCAAATCTCTGTTATTCAACGTATCTAATCTCGATTTCAATGACTGGATTTTAAATTCAAGCTTCTGCTTGTTGAACTGCGATAAGTTCCTGTCTTTCTTGAGAACCTGCTCCATTTCCTGAACCTCTTGCTGTCTATAGTCGTCCAAAAACGAATAATTCTTACGAACTTCGTCTAAGTTGGCCTTACCGTACGCAGGGTCAAATCTTATGTCTCTGTACATAGTTTTACTTTCCAAACCCCCGATATCACGGACTTTCGACACTGGCCTCTTGGACGATGACTCCGAGGGTGCATGTTTGTTCTTCTTCTTCTGTACCTGTTTCCGTGGGTTTTTACCACTTGATTTACCCTTATTATATCCTTGGTCATTTTCATCACCCTCACTCGTCTCAAAAAAGTCTCCTTCTTCCTCTGAGCCATCAGAGTTACTATCACTGTCATCGCTGCTGTCGCGATCTCCCTCACTCCTCCTCTGAGCCTTTCCTCCCTTCTTTTTGCTCGCCTTTTGCTCCAATTTCCGTTGTGCTGCGTTTAATGCTCCAAATGAAATGCTATCCATGTCATCGTCATCGCCATCGGATGGCTCATCTCGCGCCTGTAACACATTGGCAAGCTCTCCATCCGACCCGGAATCATCGTCGTACGATGGTCTGATAACTGCCGGTTTACCCCTGGTACCTTTAGCCATTATCGTCTACTAATTATCTATATATCCTCTGATATGCTCTACAATCCATTGCAAAATCTGTGATTGTGAAAAAAAATTATTCATTTAGTACCCGTACTGCACATAGCACCACACCCTGGGTGTTCTGTACTGCAACGTTCTTTCTAACCGATACGCGATGTCAATTGGACTTCTAGGGGTATTAGGTTACGTTAGATACAAAATGGATGTCTACAATAGCCAATACGGTGTCTGTGTGATATAGTCGATACAAAAGCCTGCCTGGATGTAACAATTCCCTTAGTAACCTCTGGGGAGGAGTTTTTCCATTATGAGATTCCGATGCCCGGACACGTCGTGTAGGGAGGAGTCCGGGATGCGAATTTTCGGGTAAGGGTTCCACAGTGTTGCACAAGTCAATCAGAATACCAAATGGTAAGGTAAAAAAAGTAGTTTTTAACAGCACAGCAGAAGCACACGCCAGAGATGGATATATCAAGCCATGTAGTCTTTAACCCATTTTAAAATTCGAAAAATACGTCGTAGAACACTTACATAATCGCTACACATAGGCACCCGAGGTGGAAAATTTCCAGGCGGCGCACGAACGTCCGAGAGAGTTTCATAGAAACCATTAATATAAGAATTGTTGACAAGTGTATATTGTTTTTTGATTTCTATACATATAGTAAATTAAAGATGTTATCCAGACATATTGCCCGTGCTTCAAAAGTGAGTAGACTGAGGGAACGGTGACTTAATTGGACAGAGGGGGCCCAAGTTGGGCCCCATCCTGTCAATTGGAACCGATTGACGACGATCCGGCGGGATATAGGGACAACCGAATACTAACTGATTTAGACTGTTGCTAATCAAAAAAGATTCTTATCATTACATGAATTCCGTTCAGCAGCTTTGTTGAAGACCTACGGTGTTGGTGTTCCAGAAGGTAGTGCTGCTACTACACCAGAAAAGGCGTACGAAGCAGCCAAGGCTTTAGGTACTAACGAATTGGTTGTAAAGGCACAAGCCTTGACCGGTGGTCGTGGTAAAGGTCACTTTGACAACGGATTCCAAGGTGGTGTTAAGTTAATTTCATCTCCAGAAGAAGCCAAAGAATTGGCCGAAAAGATGTTAGGACATAAGTTGATCACCAAGCAAACCGGTGAAGCTGGTAAGGAAGTTACCGCTGTGTACATTGTCGAAAGAAGAGATGCCAGAACTGAAGCTTACTTGGCTATTTTGATGGACAGAAGTACCCAAACTCCATTGATCGTTGCTTCTTCCCAAGGTGGTATGGACATTGAAGGTGTTGCTGCCAAAGATCCAGATGCTATCAAGAGTTTCCCAGTTCCATTAAAAGAAGGTGTTTCTGACAAATTGGCCACTGACATTGCATCTGTCTTGGGTTACACACAAGAAGCCATTCCAGAAGCTGCTAAGACCGTCCAAAACTTGTACAAGGTTTTCATGGAAAGAGACTGTACTCAAGTTGAAATCAACCCATTATCTGAAACCCCAGACCACAAGGTTTTGGCCATGGATGCTAAGTTGAACTTCGATGACAATGCTGCTTTCCGTCAAAAGGAAGTTTTCTCATGGAGAGATCCAACTCAAGAAGACCCAGAAGAAGTCACTGCTGCTGAATACGGTTTGAATTTCATCAAGTTAGATGGTAACATTGCTAACATTGTTAACGGTGCCGGTTTAGCCATGGCCACTATGGATATCATTAAGTTGTACGGTGGTGCTCCAGCCAACTTCTTGGACTGTGGTGGTACTGCTACTCCAGAAACTATCGAAAAGGCATTCGAATTAATCTTATCTGATAAGAAGGTTAACGGTATTTTCGTCAACATCTTCGGTGGTATCGTCAGATGTGACTACGTCGCTGAAGGTTTAATTGCTGCTACCAAGAACTTCAACTTAGATATTCCAGTTGTCGTCAGATTACAAGGTACTAACATGGCTAAAGCTAAGGAATTGATTGAAAACTCTGGTTTGAAATTATACGCTTTCGAAGACTTAGACCCAGCTGCTGAAAAGATTGTTTCTTTAGCTCCAAAGGCTTAGGCTACTTAAACCTATTCACTACATTTTTATATCATTTTTCTTAAAAACAAATTCTAATAAAAAATTATCATATTACCTTTTAATCACTTGTAGTCTACCACTGTCCTAATAGTTCCTTATATCTATTGTACGATTGTTATCATCGTTGTTGAAATGTTCCTAAAGTTACACAAAAACGTGCTTGCCACTCAGTCTCAAATATCAATCAACAGTCTTTAAAGCTGACAAGGCATTTAAGCATTAGAACACTTCTTTAATACAAACAAATAGGTAGATTTAGATAATATAATAGGATGTTTTTAACCAGAAGTGAATATGATCGTGGTGTGAGTACGTTCTCACCAGAGGGAAGATTATTTCAAGTTGAATATTCATTGGAGGCCATTAAATTGGGATCCACTGCAATTGGTATTTCAACATCTGAAGGAGTGATTTTAGGGGTTGAAAAAAGAGTAACTTCATCTTTATTAGAGCATTCATCAATTGAAAAGATCATTGAGGTCGATAAGCACATTGGTTGTGCAATGTCAGGTTTAACAGCGGACGCGAGATCCATGATCGACCATGCCAGAGTTTCGTCTTTGACTCATAACTTATATTATGATGAGGACATTCAAGTTGAGAGTTTAACACAATCTGTTTGCGATTTGGCTTTGAGATTTGGTGAAGGAGCTAGTGGTGAAAAAAGATTAATGTCAAGACCTTTTGGGGTTGCCTTGTTGATAGCTGGAATTGATAAAGATAAGGGACCTCAGTTATACCACGCTGAGCCTTCAGGTACATTCTATAGATATGATGCTAAGGCTATAGGCTCGGGATCAGAAGGTGCTCAAGCTGAATTACAGAATGAATATCATAAATCGTTAACTTTGAAAGAAGCGGAATTATTAACCTTAAAGATTTTAAAACAAGTCATGGAAGAAAAATTAGACTGTAAAAATGCTCAATTGGCAAGCGTTACTACTGAACATGGCTTCCAAGTTTACAGTGATGAAAAGACTAATGAAATTATTAAAGTTTTAAATGAACAACAAAGTGAAGCCGACGCTGAAGCTGACGCTAGTTGAATTATGAATATAAATTATCTATATAGTCATCTAAATAATAAATAAATTTAATGATCTGGAAAACAATGCTCTAATCTTTCAATTAAAATTAAAAACAGTTGATTTTCCAAGTTACCATGGGACTTCAATGTAACTATAAATTCGGTTAACGAATCATTAAAAATTTCAAAATGTGAATTTAGCATGCCATCCAAGTTTTTAAATCTTGTTTCAATCAGTTCATCATCCATTACTCTATTTTGAAATTTCTCTGGATAGTCCTGACTAAATTTGTGAAATAAGTCCTTGTTTGACATTATTAAAGATTTTTTTAACCTGTTCAAATAATGGTTGTACAGGATAATCAGATCAAACATATTTTTAAGAACATCAATTAAAACCTTATTAGTAATGAACGAATCTCTCAAAATATTATTTAAGAACGATCCTAATTTACTAATCAAATTGTCTATATTGATTAAATTGTCGTTCGGAACATCATTAAAATTCTGATTATGATTCAATATTTTTTCATCAAAAAGATTGTTGTGATTATAATTAGCTAATGAACCATTTTTAAATCCAATAATGCCACTGTTATTAGTATTTTGATGGTCTATGTTTGATCCGAGCTTCTCCTTATGCAACAAATTCTGTATGTTCTTAAAGTGCTGTCTAAACGAATCAAAATTCGTTTCAATGATATCAAAATTTAAATAAAATTGTAGATCATTCATGAAATCTTTCATTCTATTATTCAATATACGGCATCTTAAAATCCACTTTCTAATTTTCGGATGAAAACCAGAATATTTCCACACAGTGGAATAATTAATCTCCTTCCACGTATGATCAATCAATTTGTTAATGAATTTCACAATCATTTGCAATTTAAAAATTAATTGATATTCAAGAACGTAGTTTTGCCCTACAATCATATTCAAGGGAAATGGCAAATCCATATCTATGTTGACTCCAGATATCGTGTACTCATCTGAGTGATCAGGGTCATAACTGTTTGGTGAACTGTTTGAACCAGCAGAATTCATTTGATCTCTCTCTAATGAGTTATTTATTAATGCTTTAAAAATATTAGAATTTTGGCCATTCTTAAATGCCACTTCTGCATCAAAAGACTTAACATTCAAAATTTCTTCAGCCAAGTCATAAAAATTAGTAAAATCAATAGACAAGCCCAGACAATAACTCAAAACATCATTCATTTTATTATCCGATATACTATTTTGTTTATTTATATCTTTCACCTGAAACTCATCCTTTTTACGCTGCAATGTATCGTCATAAAGTTTAGTAAGCCTAGATGTTGAAATTGCATGTTTATTCTTTCGTAAATCATTAAATGATTTCTCTAAAAAGACATCAATCTTTGAAGAATCCTTGAATAAGAAAAGTGTCTGGAAGCCATCTATTAAGCTTGGAAATTGGTATCCTTCGAATAACAACTTCATTAGCAATTTATTAGCTCTTTTATAGTATTCATGGATTTTTAATTCTAGATCTTGTGAGTATAATCTATCAATAGGTTGTATTATTTCATTTAATTGCTGAAAGTCATAAAGACCTGTACAAGCCTTGAATATATTTAAATACTTTCCGGTTGCTAGTATTTTCAACTGTATATCTTTACTTGAAAACTGATCAATAACACCGTCAGTTCTTGTGACATATAGCTCGTCCCAATATTTTTCCACATTACGGCGGATCGGGTTATCAGGGTTATCTGGAAACCTATTCATCTTAATTATGAACTCTTCAGCAGAGTCATCGATCTCTCCATTAATTAGCCATTTATTAAGCATGGAAACATAATCAATACTAACCACGTCAAATATTTTAGTTAAAAACTCTAGAGAAATAATATCACCTTGATATGCATTAATTCTGTCTTGTATTATTTTTAAGAGAATTCCTCCTTTACAAAACTCAAAATTCACATTATCAGTGGCAAGGTCTATGGTTCCTGTTTCTTTAAGATCATTCTGAATGCTTTTAATGAAATTATTGAAATATGATTCACTCGTTTGATGCTTGTATTTGCTTCGTTCAATAGTTTCGGTATGAACAGATATGACGATATCATAGAAATGACTTAGTTTGAGTGAAAGCTCTTGATTTAAGATGGTTTCAAATATGCTAAGATTGAAAGTTGAATTAAATTTGAATTCATCCTCTATCTGTTTAATTATTTGTTGGTAGTCGATAAGGAATTCACTAATTGCAAAGCATAACCTTTGCACAACTTTACCAAATTCAGGCCTATCATATAACTCTAAGAATCCATTCAATCCCGAATAATACTTGCCAAACTTCACAAGTTTCTTGGTAATACACTTTAAGCTTATATCTAGATGTTTTGCGATCTTAAAATCAGGGCCTCTTATTTTGGAATTGATCTCACTTGGGTCATATTTTTCACTATATCTAATATAGCATCCTTCATATCCAATCAAGGAAAACAACAAATCCTTAATTATCAAGCCTTGTTGTATTTTCAAGTCGTTCAATTCGCTTAGTGGATATGGTCTTGTCTTACCGCGTCCTCGAGATGTTTGATTGACACAAGTGTTTAAAACGTTGGGCTGGTTGGATAGAACAACAATATCCTGTTCGATATCTCCCATTTGTGATGATATGAAACTTGTCATGATGTTTCTTATCTCTGTATTATACCTTGTAGATAACCTCTTCAATACAATAATAAACAAACAGTTTTTATTTTATTTAACGCGCGCACATATATAATATAATGTTTTAGAGATAGATATTGAATATCAATACTTCTTTAAAAGTGATTCTAGTCCAACCATTCACTATCATCATCGTCACTTAGCTCCAAGTCTTTTAATAATTCAGAAGATGCTAAGTCAGCCGCTTGTTGAACTTTTAATAATCCACAAGTTTCTTCGAGGTACGTAACATCATTGAGACAGTTCTTGACGAATTCCCACCCTAGTTCATTGAACTTATCTATAACATATTTCGAGCATGCAGAGCAATGTTTATAATTCGGGGTCTGTAACTTGCTTTGAGTGTAATTATGTAAAAAGCCTCTAATCTGATGCGGAACTTCACCTAATATCAAATTATTTGAACGGCCAGGCTCCGCATACTGCTTATTGGGATGTTGCAATATCGAAATTAACAATTCAACAGCTAGAGACGAAGCCATCAATGCGACGCCTGGTCGAGTTACAGTGCACATTTGATCCAATGTGCGATCAGATAAACTATCATTTGGAGCAACAACGTCATTACAATAGTAGCAGCCTACTCTCGTATCACTGTTATCCGCTTCAGATATATTTCCATGTCTCATTACTAGGAAACTATCAAATCCCAATGCAGCATTAAGCACAATTTTGTTTTTTGCAAGACCTAGAACTGTAGGGAGCCATCTTGATTCCCTTGAATCCATTAACAAGAACACTACATCATGATCATCGAACAAATCACTTAGTTTATCAAAACTTGTTTTTTGTTTGGTTTCATTGTTAACAGGATGCCCGATCATAGGCACCTCTAAATTGTAACCCTTAGATTGAACATCTGGGAAGATTTCTTTTAAAGCATTTGCCGCCCGTATGGCTTTCCATTCTCCTTGGCCCTCATCACTAAAACAATCTTTGAAGTTGAACAAGGGTTGACGAACTGGATTAGAATACGAGATTCTTCCATTATCAACAAAGGTAATATTTCTAACACCCCACCCCATAAGTGCTCGGGAAACATAACTACCTAAGGTACCTGCACCCAAAAGCAATACTCGTTGACTCCTGACTATGTCAAGATCCAAATTTGGTGCTATTCTCCATTTCATTAACTTTAGATTCAAATCCACTGCCTGTTTGGCTAATTCTTGGGGGTCAATTAACGAACCCAAATCAGCAAGCCTAGGGCCGAGCTTTCCATTACTTAACCTTTCCCAGCCCAATATTTTTGGGATTTCATTTATATCAAACCTGTCCTTATCGAGCTGCAATTTCCAATAGAAAGAACTGCCATTATTTCGATATATTATTAATCCGATATCTTGAAAACCTTTTCGAGCCAAGACGTATAGGTAATTTTTTAATTGCACTGAAGGGATACATTCTTGGTTCAAACATGTATCAATAAACACAAAGATTTTGCTTTCCTGAAATTCCAGGACCCTTTCAATAATATTTTCATCGTTTATTTGGAAAAACTGTACAAACTTGGAAGTTTCAACGAATTCCCTGATACTTGGAATAAACTTTTCCATAGCATCTCCAGCAGTGCCAATTACGTTCCATGGTGAATGCAAAGTTGGAAATGCAAACCAATAATAATATTTATATTTCTTTAGATCACAGAATGCTAAAACGTGCACCTTATTGAAACATTCGTAACTCAAGTCTACACTACCATCCTTGATTTCATCATAGATTTCGGTTCCCCAACGCCTCAATATCGCTTGCTTATTCATATCTTTAAACTCCTCGATCGTGTTGACGTTATAGATATAACCTTTCCATGAAATGTTGCTATCTTCGTTCACATCGGGACCCTCATCAAAACTAGAATAATCGAAATTTATCGTAGGATAATCGTTAAACTTATTTAGTCTTTTGGGATGAGTCGAAAACCCTTTAATTTCCTTCTTGGTTGAATCTAGTTTAAATTCATCCAACTTCAATTCTGATAATTTAGTGAAGAATGATGACTCCACAAATGACTGGATAGGCGTGAACTTTAAGTGCTTCCTCTCAGTAGTTGCAGACACATTGGACATCCTTATGTTACAAATATGTAGATTATTGAATTATTGGCCGTGTTGACAGTCAATCATATATTAGTCTATGTATCGTGTATCCGTATGGTTGGCCACTATCATGACTTCTTTTACTGATAAAGGCCATGTTCCTTTAATAGTAAAAATTTATTATATGCAGTATATATGAATTATTATATGGAATACAGATTATACAAATAGAGAAAGATTAACCTTGCATAGTATGATCATCTAAGGTCATATCATCCAATTCATCTAACAACTCATCAATACCAATTTGAGGCGCATCTTCATCTTCATCTTCATCTTCCATATCAGTCTCCGAATGTTTTGGATATTGGTCATCAGTCTTATACAAGTTAATAGTTTGTCTTAATTCATCATCTTCTTCTAACTGTTGCAAGAATAATTCGTAGTCTCTTTCTGCACGTTCTTGTTCTTGTTTTGCTTGTCTCGAGTCGTCATTAGCAACAATGTCATTATGTTCCTTAGCCATTCTCTTCAACTTCCACTTTCTGTTCTTTGATTTACGTGACTTTCTGGCGTAATGCTTCTTAACCAATATAACATCAGGAATGTTGTCGGTATCAAGGGTATCAAACAATTCAGAATTAAGGTTAGAATTAGCTAAATAATAACCCAAACAAGAATCACCTGGATGTAAGATGGCACCCAAGTGAGATCTAATGTAAAATGAATTATCGTTCGAACCAAAGTCACTGGCACGACTAACAGTAATATCAGCTAAGACATGCTTGCCTCTAATGTCGCCCGTAGGTTCGACATCCAAAACTATGAACTCAATTAATTCAGTCGCATTCAATAAAGATGGGAAAGGGGATCTCCAGTAGACCGGAGCATTTAAGTCGGCAGAATGTAACAGCGCAGGATCAAAGAATTGAATCGAGTTTGAGATTTTTGAACATAAAACTAGCCTGGAAATATTACCCAATGAGTTAGCCATTTTTTTAGGTAACACAACCAAATCATCACGACAGATTGGCGCAATTTCAACTGAGTAAGAAAATTTATACGAAGAAGATGCCGAATGAATATCGGTACTGACCAACTCTTCGGATTTCTTTGACTTTATAGGAGCAACAGCTGATAAGAAGTCTAACATTTTAACCGCATGGTTTTTCTGACCGTAGAAAAAATCCAACCCGTCCTTCGATTCCTTGATAGAAACAGTATCCATGTGAGCATTGTGCTTCAAAATCAACTGTTCTAAATACAAGAATGTTCTCTTATGTGGAACCTTTTGTCTAATCTGGACTGTTGCTCTCCATGTATTAGCAGTGTAGGACTTGGCACAATCTGGACATTGCATAGCAACAACAACATATTCTACCTCAAACGTCTGTTGCACAATAGTATTGGACATGGCTTCTCCCTGCACAGTCAATTTGACCCTGATACGACGCGAATGTGGTTCTGTCCAAATGAACGATGCATCTATCAATCTCACCTTATTTAAACCCTTAAGTCTCCTCAAACACAACGCTAACAATTCTCTCGATTCCAACTCGGCCCTAATCCAATGCTGTGGTGGTTGTAAAAACCTTTCACAGTTTCTGCAAAACGAAACATTCGCTTCTCTTGGAATTCCTTCTGTTATATCCACTGTTAATTTAATACAGTCGTAACACATTACTAACCCTGACGATCCATCCATTGGAACACCACAGTTACAACACAACACGGTAGCCACCGGTTGCTCTTGGTCATGTGTATGGTCTAACTGAGTATAATTAGACATTTTTCTCTTATTACCAGAATTTTCTTACAACTTACAGAACAAAGTGGATGGCGATTTTTCATTTTATCTCTTCCTTAGTATGATAAAAAAAATTATAGTCATCCCCAGTCACGTGCACAAATTATGTAACTTATGACGAAGACTCGGTGCACGTATAAACGAGTCCACCACTATCAATAATAGGCACTGTTGACAGTGAATAATCAATCGGTCTAATTGAAAATAATTGGTGGAGTATGGTAGACAGGAAGAGAAACTCTTCAGTAATATCAGATAATGAAGAAAATGGGCGTGTAGATAAAAAAACAAAGATAAAGGATGAAATAGAAGGTGATGAAGTGGAGAGTGACGTGAAGAATGAAGAGGCTGATGGAGCTGATACGGACAACAAGGAAGAAGTTGGAAAGGACAACGAAGAAGAAAATACAGAAAATGGAGGTGGTGAGGGCGATGATGATGACGACGACGACGATGATGAAGCAGAAGAGGAAAAGAAAAGAACGACGACATTCAACTTTGATGGGGTTACATACTCGTTTAAAGAGCGGCCATCTGTGATTGAAGAAAAAGAAGGTAAGATCGAGTTTCGGGTGGTGAATAATGATAACACGAAGGAGAGTTTAATGGTGTTGACGGGGTTGAAGAATATTTTTCAGAAGCAGTTACCCAAGATGCCGCGAGAATATATATCGCGGTTAGTGTATGATAGATCGCATTTATCGATGGCGGTGGTTCGTAAGCCGCTAACGGTCGTTGGGGGAATAACATATCGTCCTTTTGATAATAGGGAGTTTGCAGAAATCGTTTTCTGTGCGATTTCGTCGACTGAACAGGTTCGAGGTTACGGTGCACATTTGATGAATCATTTGAAAGACTATTGCCGGGCCACTTCAAATGTGAAATACTTTCTTACTTATGCAGATAATTACGCCATTGGATATTTCAAGAAACAGGGCTTCAATAAGGATATCACACTAGATAAATCTGTCTGGATGGGTTATATCAAGGATTATGAAGGAGGTACGCTCATGCAGTGTTCAATGTTACCACCAATTTTGAGGTATTTGGACCTGGCAAAAATTCTATTATTGCAAAAAGCTGCAATAGAGAAAAAGATCAAACTGAGATCAAAGGCTCACGTTGTAAGGCCGGGATTGCAGGTTTTCAAAACAAATAAGGATGCAAAGCTCAATCCAGCGAAGGACATTCCTGGGTTAGCAGAAAGCGGATGGCTGGAGGAAATGGACAAATTAGCACAGAAGCCGAAGCGTGGCCCTCATTATAACTTCATGGTAACGCTATTGTCAGAGTTGACTAACCATCCATCTGCATGGCCATTTTCGACTCCAGTAAACAAGGAAGAAGTTGGTGATTACTATGATGTCATCAAAGAACCAATGGATTTATCAACTATGGAACTGAAATTAGAGAATGATAAGTATGATTCATTTGATCAATTCTTATATGATGCCAGGTTGATTTTCAACAACTGTCGTTCTTATAATGCTGATTCTACGACTTACTTCAAAAACGCTACCAAATTAGAAAAATTCATGAACAACAAAATCAAGGACAGTGCTGAATACTCACACTTCCTTGATCAGTAATCACATATATGTAATTTAGACTTGTATAATATAAATTTAACATACATTCAGTTTTAGTCGTGCGATGGTTGATTTGTCATTTGTTCCCTTATTAAGGGAGAGGCAATATGCTTCATTTACATTGAAACTAATTAATACTACAACAATTGTATAATGTCAGCAAAAGTATATTCGCACGCTCAACACGATGATGTTGCCAACGCTGTTGGAAAGCATATTTTGAAAATTCAAGATGAGTCGTTAAAATCATCGTCCACATTCAAGATTGCGTTATCGGGTGGATCTTTAGGAAAAGTCTTGAAGCAGTGTTTAATTGACAACACATCAATTGCGCCACATATTCAGTGGGATAAATGGGAAGTTTATTTCAGTGACGAAAGAATCGTGCCATTGGACCATCCTGATTCCAATTATGGGTTGTTTAACGAAATGGTTTTGTCAAATTTGCCAACGAATACGACAAAACCAAAGGTCAACACTATTGATGAAAGCTTAATAACCGGTAAAGATGGACAAATAGCATCTGCTTCCAGGCTGCATGATGAAGCAATTGCTAAGCGTTACGAAGATTCTTTGCCTGAAAATGCAAAATTTGATTTGATTCTCTTAGGTTGCGGACCTGATGGCCATACATGTTCTTTATTCCCAGACCATAGAATTTTAAAAGAGAGAGATGAGTTGATTGCAGCCGTCAGTGATTCTCCAAAGCCTCCACCAAGAAGAATTACTTTTACTTTCCCAGTATTAGAAAGGGCCACTTCAATAGCCTTTGTTGCAGAAGGTGCTGGTAAGGCTCCTATCATGGAAAAAATCTTCGTTGATAAGTCAAGTAAATTGCCATCTAAGCTAGTTAATGAATTGAAAACTGGAGTCGAAGTTCTGTGGTTTGTCGACGACAGTGCAATTGAAGGTGTCAATGTGATCTCTTCGAAATATTAAACTTCTAAATATGTAAGTAAATATAAATTAATACTCTCTGAAACCTAAAGTATCTCTTATTAGTATCATATACTTTGCTTCATGCATTGATGTATAAATTTACATATATACATATAAATAAATGTCTTGTGTGTGTGTCGTCTATGAAATTTAAGTGACGTAAATGCGACATACTTTAGATAAAATGAAAAACACATGTTTATCAGCCATTATATTTAGCTAATATACTCTAGATTAAAATGGGTATGTTTTAACTTATGAATCAATTCAATTTAGAATATTAATTACTAACAAGAGCTACCGCTAGCATTAGGTGTTGCATTATGGTTATGTCCTAAAACAAACACTCCGCTCTATGATAAACTAATTACTCTAATGAGTTCACTCAACACCTTATTTCCCGGTCAACCACCAAAATTCGAACCTCATATAACTATATCTTCCAACATTGATGTAGATTTGGACCATCCCGATAAAACGAAAGCCGATGTATACAGAATTTTATCCGCAAGTTTAGTTGCGATAGATTCATTACCAAAAAATCATTCCAATTTGGTTACATTAGGAAAGGTCGACAGTCAGAGAAAGTTTTTTAAGAAATTGTATTTCCAAGTTGCAAGAGATCCAAATTTAGTATCCTTTGCCACGATAATTAGAGAATTATTTGTACAATTACCAGCTGATATCGAACAAGAAAACATGAAGAAAAATCCACATTTATACACTACGGATAGCCATGGAAATACCGTTAAGAAGAAGTCGAAACAATCACAAGATGGAAGGATAGAAGAGATAGATATGCCTAGGATCCAGCGTGAAGCTCAAGAACAAGCATCCTTGTGGAGTGTCACTGAATTTGATCCACATCTTTCTTTAGTTTACAACGACCTACATCCTATCGACAGTGCATTATGGAGGACAATAAAAACCAGAATTCAGGACTATTTGAATATAGATAATTGCGATTCAGACGATTTAACAGATAACGGATTAGGCTGGGACAATGGAATACTTAAATTAATCCTATGCGAAGGTGATGTTAACGATTGGGTAGTTTTGGGTAGTGCCGACTTGCACTAATAGTAATAATATGTTTAATATGCTAGTATATAATTTATACATACAAACAAGAACTGTAATAATCACTAAAAAAATATAATGAAGGATGCGAGGTTCGAACTCGCGCGGACAACTGTCCAGCAGATCTTAAGTCTGCCGCCTTAGACCACTCGGCCAACCCTCCAGATTATTCAAAACCTTAAGAATCATGAATTTACTCATATTTATTTCCCAAACGATAGTTTATGATGTATTGCATGCTCTTTGGATAAAAATAAACTCTACGATGTCTTTCAGGCCACTTTAAATTGTACCGCTTAAAAGTGTTGAATTAATTATGTTAAATTTATTAATAATATGCAATTTATAAATGTAATAATACAATAAGAACTAAACCCGTACTCTCTAACTCAATTTTATATTTCAGATAATAGATAAAATGATGAAGCGACAGACGACTCCACCCCCAGATATGCCAATTGGCAAATGCGAAGTTACGAAACTTTATATTTTCGCGCTTAAAACCTTGTCAATACAAGTAATGATGTGATCAAAAGAATAGTTTAATGGCTTTGCGAAAGTATGATCAATGCCAGCTTTCTCATAAATTATTTTGTCGCTTGGCAAACTCTTAGTGGTCACAGCAATTATGCCCACCTGGTTCAACTTCTCCTCCATTCTAATCATTCTTGCCAACTCTATTCCTGTAAATCCTGGCATCTCAATGTCGAGAAATGCTGCATCAAATGTTTGTGAATGCAACAATGCCATTATCTTTGTGGAATCTTGTGTCTTCACAATCGTGCAATTTGGATATAATTTAAGGAGGACTCTTTCCAATATCTTCAAATTAATAAAGTTGTCATCCACAAGTAAAAAGTTGTAGGCTTTAGTATTAGGGGTGAATTTTCTATATTCTCCAAGTTCAATTGGTGATATAAACTGTTGATTTCCGCGAAACGTATTCACATCAACCGACAATTTAGGTTTGAGGTCGCAATCCACGCATTCCGCCTCAACCATATTAACATTATCTTCTCTTACATCGCCATTTATTGGTTTATAATGAAAGTAATCCATCCTATAGTCATAGTCTGGACTGGGAAGCGCCGGGGGCGTGCCAAGTTGGTTGTTGTACATCATATTGTTGGCCTTATTAAAAACATCAGCCGAATGCCTGGCTTGTGTCGTGCAGTTTGATTTGAAATCAAAATCAAACTGTACTTGATCCATGACACGTTACACTCGTATAAAAATATTGACTTTTAGTTAGAAAATGCTCTCTAAATATGTTTTCCAAATTTGTCCGTCACGAACTAAATTGAAATTAATTAGAGATGGATTTCAGAATATATATACTTTGTTTTAACGTGTACCGTAAAAATAGCGGAGGTGTTGCGGGCAACAATTTTTTTCCACTATAGGTAGCAAGTACTGTGCATACGCGCGGAACATTCCATGGCCGCCTTCTTATCGAAGGCGTCCATTTTCGCCCGCTATATCCGCACTACCCAATAGAGTATCTTGGAATGTACTAGTGTGATTCTTCGCTAGATGTGTTAACCTCATGGGACACCTATATACCAACTGTTCGTCCTATTGCTTGAATAGACAAACATCTTGACTTCGGGGTTGGTGAGTCAATGTCGGTAAAGACACGGTATGACCACATCCGATTGAGATCAAGCTTTTTTACGGGTGTCAAGGATCGGTACGCTCAGCTGTAAAGCCGGAGATCTAGACTTAGGGTAGTATTTTGAGCATAGCGAGAAGTAAAAGGCGATTACATAATCAGGAACAAGAAACTAAGTTTTTCGCCTGGAACAGCAACATAATCAACGAATTTCCAAGCACAATAGGGAGGAAAAAAAGTCCCAGCCCGCGCTATTGGGGTGTGCGCAATCCTCCCAGGCACCACAAAAAGAGCTATATTCACGGGTGAAAAGAATCTCGATACATGCGACGTTCAAGCGCAGAATGCTTACCCAAAGTGGATGTGATAAGAGTGGGCTCGATGAAGAGATTAAGTTTAATTGGCAAACGCATGGAATTTTGCAAAAAGTATGACTTCGAGATCATTCCAGTAGTTGTTAGTGGAACGGTTTTATTCGAGACGTAGTCCGCCCAAGAATGAGGGAATAGAGGGACTCGAGAGGGACCGCAATGGACAAGCGAACAGAATACACTTTGAATTGGGGTAAATGTGGTATGTTTGTTGCGCATCTAGTCGGGGAAGACTGTAGTAAGCGAACCCATTCGGTAAATTATGATCGAGACCCATAATCGAGAAAACCAAAAACTTTTTGTGTGACAAAGAGAGGCTGGCTAGAAAATACGGGCTGACGTATTAAATCACAGGTTGAGAAAATCTTACATCCTTTAAGTCTATTTCTGTCGCCCTATGCAGCCATTACAAAAAGCTCGTTAACGATCCGTAGGTTTGAAACCTATAGCTTTGCAATCCCCTCTGCATCTTCCTGTTTACAGTTCTTAAATCGTACTTGTAGATAAAGTACATATATTTATAGAGATATCATCTTACCTTGATGTAAGGTAACTGGGTCTAAATTAGGTAATTCTTACAACTAACACTTGATATACTATGTAGATTCTACTACTCTAACTTTAACTTAACTTATAGATGACAACATAACTTTTATAGATATGAGTATGTTCTCGTACACTTGAAACAATACGCTCGTATGGCGCAGTGGTAGCGCAGCAGATTGCAAATCTGTTGGTCCTTAGTTCGATCCTGAGTGCGAGCTTGATGTTTTTTTGTTTTTACAACCATTAATATTATTTATTAATAGTAGTCTAACGCCTTGGAAAATTGTAGACTACAGATATTCAAGATTGACAGTATTTCTATACGGTTCTATACGGTATTCATATACTATAAGAGGCCTATAAACATTAATGCCGCCAACAAGTAAGTTCAATTAGGATTCCCAATATTGGAAGTTACTAACCTCGATAGAGACGTATAATTCAAAGTCTTTTAAACCTTTGATACAATCCAAAACAAACAAACCATCCCCTGTAGAGAAATCCCTTGATTTACAGATTAGACATTGGTTGAAACGTAAGGATTTACTTGTAAAAGCAGTAAAGTATCAGAAGACTAACGAATCCGCAAAAATTAATTCTTTGATAGACAAATGGCGGGGGATCTGCCATCAAGCCTCAAATTACTTGCTAAATTCAATGCAAGTCAAAATTATGCATATGGGCGGGTATTCAACATGGAAACAACAACAGAAGGATAAAAAGGTAAACCAATCATTTGGTAATGATTCGTATAGAGAAAATCTAAGTGATTTTGTGAATAGCGAAGAGTTCACGCATTTATCAAGCTATGAACAGAGCGATATAATGGATCAATTAAACGAAACTTCAAATCAGTCGTTACTGGAAAACGAGACAGAGGAGACAAATCTAGATGACCAGCTAAGTATGAACGAACTATATCGTCTTTTAAACATAGATTATGATTTGATTTACAACTGAAATAGGTTGCAAGCAATTTGCACCTCGCTTAATGATAGTAAAAGTGATTAAGATTAGGGTATTGGCAGCAACAAGTAAAGTTAGTTAATATTAATATTCACTATTTATATGTATTATTGACTGTAGATATTTAGAAAGCTATCTTGGATTTCAATTATACAGCTTAATTAGATCAAATGATAGTAAAAGTGTGCAGCGATATTGTATACCAAATAGGAAAAGTAATGAAAAATTTAAATGCGGCTTTCAATATGATAATCAATTCATGATATATTTTTACTTATTAGACTAGGCGATTAAAATAGGATAGCTATTAAGGATTATATTAGCACCTAAATACAGCACTTCAGTGCCTTATTTATTTACTCATAATCTAATACGATGACTAATACAAAAGTTATCAAACTTGAAGATAAAACAGAACATTATGAAAATTTTAGCAAAACTAAACTCTTACACTTTTTAGAGAAATTGGCATTTGAATTGGATACTGAGTATATAAGTCTCGAGGAAATAGTAAATAAAGTCATAGATGGGTTACCTGACTTAATTACCGTGAAAGATTTATTAGAGTTATTAGCAGAATCAATTGCCACCAAAATTATTTATCATCCAGACCATTCAATATTAGCAGGAAGAGTAGAGGCAGTTAATTTACAAAAAATGGTTGCTTCTAACTTTAGCAATAATGTGATTCGTTTGAGAAATTATAAGAGTAATAAAACGGGCAGAAGTTATGGAGTGGTTTCCGATGAATACTTTAAAACCGTAATGGAACATAAACATATATTGGATTCGATTATAGATAGCAGAAGAGACCTTGAATTGACATATTTTGGTATTAAGACATTGCAAAATTCGTATTTGTTGAAGTTGGATAACGTTGTCAGTGAAACTCCACAGTTTATGTTTTTAAGAGTGGCCATAGGCATTCATGGCAATGATATTGATAGTGTGATTGAAACATACGAATTAATGTCACAGAAATACTTCATACATGCATCACCAACATTATTTAATTCAGGAACTGAATATAATTATTTATCTTCATGCTTTTTGCTTGCAATGGAAGATGACTCAATAGATGGCATTTACAAAACCTTACATAAATCTGCATTAATTTCGAAAGCGTCCGGTGGAATTGGACTTCATGTACATAATATTAGAGGAAGCGGGTCATATATAGCTAGTTCAAATGGGACTTCAAGCGGTTTAGTCCCCATGTTGAGAGTTTTTAATAATACAGCGAGGTACGTCGATCAAGGTGGTAACAAAAGACCGGGGGCATTCGCCATATATATTGAACCATGGCATTGTGACATTATAAGTATATTAGATTTGAAAAAGAATCATGGTAAAGAAGAAATGAGAGCCCGAGATTTGTTTTACGGTTTATGGATACCTGATTTATTTATGGAGAGAGTCAAACAAGATTTAGATTGGTCACTCTTCTCCCCTGATATTACTCCTGGATTAAGTGATTGTTATGGTGATGCTTTTAAAACCCTCTACGAGAAGTATGAGAAGGCAGGAAAAGCAATAAGGACTATTAAGGCTCAAAAATTATGGCGTGCCATTCTAGAATGCCAAACTGAAACTGGTGGTCCTTACATGTTGTTCAAGGATGCGTGTAACCTGAAGTCAAACCAAAGGAATCTAGGAACTATCAAATCATCTAACCTTTGTTGTGAAATTATCGAATATTCGTCGCCCGAAGAAACTGCAGTTTGTAATTTAGGTTCTTTAGCCTTACCTTCATTCATCAAGAACAGCAATGAATTAGAATACGATTTTGATAAGCTTCATTCAGTAACAAAAGTATTAGCGAAAAATTTGAACAAGATAATAGACATTACTAAATATCCTATTGAAAGTGCCAAATTCTCAAACATGAGGAATAGGCCGATTGCTATAGGTGTTCAAGGATTAGCCGATTTATTCTTGGAATTAAGATTACCATTAGATTCTAACCAAGCTAAGATATTGAATACACAGGTTTTTGAAACCATTTACCATGCCGCAATCGAGGTATCTATTGAATTAGCAATTAAGGATGGTCCTTACGATACTTTTAAGGGTTCTCCCATTTCGGAGGGGTTATTCCAATTTGATCTTTGGAATCATAAACCATCCCAACTATATTCTGACTGGGATGAATTGAAATTAAAGGCTAAAACATTGGGTGTTAGAAATTCATTACTTGTTGCGCCAATGCCTACTGCCTCGACGTCTCAGATTTTAGGCTTTAATGAATGTTTCGAACCTTACACTTCAAATATATATAATAGAAGGGTATTATCTGGAGAATTTCAAGTGGTTAACAAATACCTAATGAAGGATTTAATTGATTTAGGTATTTGGAATGCATCAATGAAGAATAAGATAATCTTGGAGAACGGATCAATTCAAAATATACCCAGTATACCCAAGGAATTAAAACAACTATATAAAACTGTTTGGGAAATATCACAAAAGGTGATTATTGAACTAGCAGCTGACAGAGGAAAATTTATCGACCAGCTGCAAAGTATGAATATTCATTTACAAGATCCTACTTTTGGTAAGTTAACTAGTAGCCATTTCTATGCATGGGAAAAAGGCTTGAAAACGGGTATGTACTATTTAAGAACTCAGGCAGCAACGAGAGCTATTCAATTCACTGTTGATTTAGTTGAATCCTCGAAACTAGACGTACAACCAGAAGCTGACATGAGTACATTAAAACGAAAATCGTACCATGGAATTGATAGGATTGAAGGAGTACAAAAAAAATTTAAATCTGAAAAGCCCAAAATGATAGATAATACAAAGAAATACCAATCTGATACCCATATAACACCAGGATCAACTGGAGTTGATAGTTTAGAAACGAAAGGAGATACTGAAGAATCATATGACATTTATGATACCACACCAGTTGCCTGTGATATTAATAATATAGCAAACTGTGATTCATGTTCTGGATAATTATATTTACATGCTCCTTATTTATTATACACCGATACGTTGTATATATTTATATAATATAGTAAGAATTTACTAAAATTTTCTTGTAAATAAAATAAATGCTTACCTTCTTTGATTTCTACTAGCAAAATCAGCAACCTGTGAAATTCCGTCTTTTGTTACAAAAAACTTCATTTTGCTCTTATTTGACCAAAGTAAAACACCGATTTCTGAAGCATAATTACTCAATGCTTCAAATTCTTGTTGGCTCGCAAAATCTTTAAATAAGTATCCCTCAAATGTTTGAATTCTATCTAATTCTAACTGCCAGAGCTTAATCTGATCAACCACTGTTGGGGGTAATACTTCCAATTTATGCTGAGCTACTGTAGTACCATTTTCGTTCGTCATCATTTGAGACTGTGGTGCACCCCCTGCAGTGTTAATATTATTGCTGGTGTCAAACTCTATCTTCTTATCCAATCTCTCTTTAGCTAGTATCTTCATTTGAGAATGAGCATGTGTTTCCAAAAATTTAATAATTTGATCTGCGGTAATACCGTTATATAGGGCATGTCTAATCGATTCTCTTGTGATTTGACCACATACCATGTTAGAGAATCGGGTTTTTAAATGTACAAATAAATTTAAAATCGCTATCTCTAATGGAGAATTTGTATATGCATAAATCTTGAAATTAGTTTCAAGAATGATTGTCCCCTGGTTTGAATTCGATGCCAAATTTTGTTGTTCTTCATTTTCAGTAGTTGATTCTAAGGCTTGTTCCATAGCCATGGAAGGGGACTTTAAGGCCGCAGAATCGGAGGTCAAGGTGGTGGCTAGTCTTGTAGGATAAAATCTTTCTGAAGTTTCTGTTCGTTGATATATTAAGCCGTAATCTCTCAAATCTGCCAACATACTTATTTGCGTTTCACTCAAACTTGAAACTGTATACCCTTTACCCAACTCCAACGAACCTAATATGAAAATAAAGTTCAATACGTCCACCGGATCCATATTTAAGTCTTGTGTTAAATTTAGATATTGTAATAATAATGTCCAGATTTGGGCGTTGATATCTTGTAATAAAAACTGAAACCCTGAATTAGTGATATTTAATCTACTTCCTCCTTTGTTAGTTCCTTCCATTAAACCGCCCAGTTTTAACAATGATAACACAGAATTCGAAGGTGTGACACTTAGTTCGGTTCCAACCATGAAATGCAATATACTTTCCCATTTTTGGAGCGCAAACGAGTCCAAGAATTTGATGCTAACACTCTGTTCATCGGGTGTTGTGCTTAAATTACCAAATGCATTACGAGCTTGTGATCCTGTGAGACAATCACGGAAGTTCTGCCTGAAGATTGGATGTAATCTAATATGTGACCCACTACTGTCTTCCTCGATGAGATGTAAGGCCTTCAATCGCTTTAACGAGTCAAACTGAAACTTTCTTGACGTTGGCTTACACCACTTATCTAAATCCTTCAACGCCACTGGCGTTTCATAAAATAACATTGTCATTATGTAGAATTTGGCTATTGGAGGTAATAACCTATAAATCGATAGGCATGTTGCTGGTGCTTCATATAATCTTGATTGAACTTGTTTTGGTAGTCCCTCCAAATGCTCGTTAACAGTAGCTTTGAACAAGTTACTAGAAGGCATCACGACCGATCGCTGGTGTCCTGATTGATGCTGGGTTTCTAAAGGTATATGACTTTTAACATAGGCCCTGCCATCTTTATGTTCGTCTGATTATGTAATCGGTTTTATTCTATATAGATTTTTTTTTCATTCAATGAGAAGAGATTCAGGTTAGATCAAGACCTAATCCTTCAAGTTTGCATAGAATAATACTGAAATTAGATGATGGGTCTGAAAAGAAAAGCTTCGAGGATTAACTCTATGGAAATGGGGTCTGATGAAGCTTTTGATCAGTTGCTACAACCTGAATATAAAGGTAAAGGATTGACTGATCAAATCAATACAGCTGATGACAAATGGAATTTGTTACCAGCGTTCTTGAAGGTAAAGGGGTTGGTGAAACA